TAAATTAGACAAAGCTTGTTCATCGGATTAGATTAGTGAATGTGATGGATCATTTAAGTAAAAAATAAGTAAAGTCTGATATATCTTAACGAGCTTTTAAAGAGTTTTCTGTCTGTATGTTTGTGAGCTGATGAAAAAACAAATACAAGGTGAACTTTCTGAGACAATTTACAGATAATTAATACGAGTGTTGCTCTGAGGCATCAACTTAAACAGAGAGAGAGTTACAGGTTCTCTGGTGAAGTTTTAAAGATGTTTTACAGCAAACAGTTTGTCTTTTAATCCCTAATTTTATTCTCAGATTTACATCTAATAAAAAAAGGTACTTTAATATGAAAAATCGGAGTAAAATTTGCATGATACAAGTCCTGTTTTAGGTTAGTTATATAAGCAAATACAATAGTCGAGCTATTTTTGTATGTGTGCATATACAAAGAGAGAAATAAGAAACAAACAAAACACTGACTCTGAAAACGACCTAAAACAAGTTCTCCTCAAATCATGAATAACAATCTAGGAACACGTCATGTGACAGAAGGGATGGATGATTGATGACTGATAGCAGCTGGAGAGGAGCAGACTTTGGGGAGTTTGCTGGTTTTGGCAGCGTTGGAGGGAGGAAGAGGAGCCTCGGGACTCTGCGGTATCTCCTCATCAGGAGCGACGTCTGGATTCAAAGCGAAGACGCTCTCCAGATCGATCTGAGGCAGAAACAAGACAGATTAGTGAGACATTTGTTACAACGACAGCCAGAAATAGAGAAAACACCGACCACTTGACCATCTGCCATGTTTCAAGTCAATCAAGAGTTGCATTTATTTATCAGAGACCAGTTATATTAGTATAAAAGGTATTATCGCGATTCTCGGAAATTAAAAAAACGTCACAATTCCGACATTTATTAGTATCGATACTTTTAAGACTGACCGAGACGTTATTTGTTATTTATGTTTTGATATTTAATATTTTGTTCATATATATTTACATTCAAAGTCCAGAATTAAAATAAAGCTCAATGGCTGAGTTTTCTCCTCTAAAAGAAAGGTTGCACAACTGACAGAATAAGTTACAATATCTGAGATATTGCTTTTTTTTTTTTTACCTTGAATGCCATTGCTTAAATTGATATTATTTATATTTTGATATTTAATCTTATTATTGTATTATTATTCTTTTTAATTATTATTATTATATATATATTTTTTATTATTTTTCTGTGTGATTTTTGTGTGATTTGAATAATTGTATTATTATATTAAT